CGAAGCGATCTCGATCGAGGAGAGATTAGCGGTAGGAAACGACGCCATGGAAGGGGAGAAGCTAGGGTTAGGATCTGCGATTAGGGTTTTGGGGGGTGGCATTAGAAATCCATATCCCTACAGATTCGATGGAATTGGAGTACGCGGATCTGAGAGAGAGGGAGGAGACGGTGCTGTGAATATATATATAAATATCCACCTCTTTCTCCTAGAATCCAGAGTTAGTTGAGATTTTGTGATTTTTTTATTGTGTTGATAGATTCAATTTCCTTTTGAAATTCAGTTTTTTATATCTTGCATAAAAGAGATTTAAATTTTGTAAAGTAGAAAGAATATAAATTCCAAACTGCTTATGAGTGAAGTTATGTAAAAATATATTTTTATATTCTAGCATGTTGAGTGTTTTTTTTATTTTTATTTTATCTATGGGCTGAGACTAGACTTGTGTAGGCTAAAATCTGAAGTCACACAATGTCATTGTCAATTTTTTAGAATTTGCTCTGATTCCATCCACAAAGTCCATTTAACCATTATACCAGAACTTCGAAGTTGTGGTAAGAATTGAGAGGTTATATTTTGTAATCTAACAAAGAGAACTTTATCATATATATATTTGTTATTGTTAAGTCTTATTGCATATGTTTAATATCATATTGTTATTTTATTCAAATATAGACAGCACCATGTTGCGGGGCTAACATATGTTAAATACTCTTTAGGGTAGGCTTATAGGTAAAATGCTCAGTAGGGAAAAACTTTATCATCTAACATTTGCACAGATGATTTTCACTTTGTTTTCTCATGGAATATCACCTAATGTAAAAGACCTTTGACCGGATTATGTAGGACAAAAAGCTAATGTAGGTTCGAAAAATTAGATTAGGAAATAAATTCAATGATAGAGTCAAATTAGATTAGGAAACAAATTCAATTTTGATTCATGATTTGCTTACAAATTCAATTTTGATTCATGATTTGCTTCCTCTATTATAGGGAGCCTTTTTTAGGGTAGGATATGATACTTTCTTAGATTAGAAAACAGATTTAATTTTGATTCATAATTTGTTTCCTCTATTATAGGGAGATAGGATTTGATACTTTCTTAGATTAGAAAACAGATTTAATTTTGATTCATGATTTCTTTCCTCTATTATAGGGAGTCTTTTTAGGGTAGGATTTTATAAAAATTTTTTCTTTGTAATTCTAGTATTACTAGGAGTCTTATATGTTTTTTTATTTAAGTAGAGTCATGTAACCCAAAAAATAATATCTTGGAATTAAATAAAACTTCTCTTGAAGAAATTTTTGGTGTGTTTTCTTGAGTTTGTGGAAGAAGTCCTTGTGGTAAGGATTCTTTATTTTCGCCACTGCGTCAGTTGGTATCAGAGCATGGTTCATCCTGCGCAATGGCTGAGAACAACAATGATCCTAATATTGTAATTGTCCAAACGCTCCAGTTGATGCAACAACAGATGCAACAACAACTGGAACAATCATGACAACAACATGAGTTGATGATGGAGGCGTTTCAGAACTTGTAGATTGGGAATAACCTTAGGCAATGGGCAATTTCCCCGATTGCAAGACCTATTGGAGGCAGGGCCAATCCCCGCGATCCGCCGACTGGGGTTGGTTTGGGTTCAGATTCAGAAGGGAAGGAAGATCTAACTTTCAGTCAAAACAATGACCAATTTATTGCTCCTTGTCAGTATAATGATCGAATTTCGAAGATCAAGGTTGATCTCCCTTTCTTTAGCGGAAATCTTGATGTGGAGGATTTTCTAGACTGGCTTGCTGAGGTTGAGAAATATTTCGACCTGATGAGAATGGCTGATAATTTACACATTAAATATGTGGCCTGTAAACTACGTAGTGGAGCTTCTGCTTGGTGGGAACAATTTCAAAACAATCGCAGGCGCCAAGGCAAGCAACTTGTTCGCACTTGGAAACCTATGAGGGAGGCGCTATGTCTACTATTTATTCCTGTAGATTATGATCAAATCCTTTATCAGAAATTTTAGGATTGTAAACAGGAGGATTGGACAGTCCAGTAGTATACACTAGTAGAAAACGGGGTTTTACCTACGGAAAAATAGCGACGGAATTTTTCGTCGCTATATGTTACGTTATAGCGACGAAATTTTCCGTCGCTATGTTTCCGTAGCTAAAATCAATTTAGCGACGGAATATTACATTTTAGCGACGGATATATTCTGTCGCTAAAATGTATTACGACGAAAAAAAATTTCGTCGCTAAATTAGTTTTAGCGACGGAAATTCCATCGCTAAAGAAATTTTAGCGATGGAATTTCCGTCGCTAAAAACTAAGTAAGTGAAAAAATTTTGGGTGTGGGCGCCCAAATTTTTGGGCAGCCCACGCCCGTAATTAAGCCCTCTTGGTTTCCCCTAGTCCGATCCCCCTCTCCTCATTCCCCCCCCCCCCCCCCCGCCTGTTGTCCGATCCCCCGCGGTTTCGAATCCGCCCCTCATCTCCTCCTTCCCCCCACTGTCCGATCCCCCCCGGTTCCGAATCCCGCCCTCATCTCCTCCTTCCCCCCCTGTCGCGATCCCCCCCTCTGGTCCGAATCCCGCGCGCCCCCTCCCCCGTCGCTGTCGT